GCTGAAGAAGTACGGGAAACCAAAGTAAGTATTGATTAAAATGTATTTACAAGTTAATCAGATTAGTTGATAAATTAGCAGTATATACTCAGGGATCAATGACTCTATACAGTTAAGTTTCTGAAATATAATGGGTTTTTATGTGTTGACCAATTTTGATTAATGTATCTGGAAGAGAACAGTACACTGTGTTTGGAGAAAAGTGTTAGACATCTCTACTGTCTCATGAAGGTGTGCCACGACGAACTGTTCTTTCCCCTCTTCTTTTCTGCATGATCTGCCATCTTCCACAGAAAACACTTTTGTTACATACACGGGTGGCCTCACTGTATATATGCCGATTTCTACCTCTCTACATTCCCTTGAAATGAATGGTATTTTGTCTCGTATTGAATATGGGTTTATTGTTAATGGTCTTATAATTAACGCGTCTAACTGTCAACATTAGTCTGAGACATGAACATATAAATACCCTTTTGGAATCCCATATTACTTGTTTTATTGAAGATTCTTTGATAAACAGTGTCAAAGAACAATTGTCTTGGTGTAACTTTTTCCTTTTATCTCACTCGGTCTTCTCATATTTTATTGTTATTAAAGAAAGTTTTCCGCCTGACTTACTACATAAGGAGGCTGCATGCTTTTGGGATTACTCGACATTTACACTTACAATTTGTCAATTCTTTCATGTTACCTAGTATTCTTTACTGTTCTCCGTTATTCTTGCCCAGGCTTTTGAGAAAAGATTTTGCTGAGTTGAGGAGTGCTGAAGGTAGTTAGCAGGATGTATAGTGGATCTTTTCAGGTCAGTATGAATATGGTTGTGGATAGCCGCGTAGAATCTCGCGAACTCCTATCAACTGTCATCTTATCAAATACTAAACATCTACTTCATTCACATCTTCGTACTTCTACATCTTCTGGTAGAAAGAGGAGTCAAAACATGAGGATCCATCCACATGAGCAAAAGCATAAAAGCTTTACAATACCTTACCCAGCAAGTATACTATACGACGAATAGGTTATAAAATCTTATTTAGTCAGAAACTTTATTCTTGAACATGCTGCTAGTTAACAGTTGTATAGGTTCTTGTCTTATCAAAAAATATTTCATTCAATTCCAGACAGTTGGTTTACTTATTTCATGAGTATATTCATGTAGTTGCCTATCGCTTCTTTATTTTTGTAAGTGAAACTTGAAGTATTATGCGCTGAGAATTCCATATTGTTCTAAACATATAATACTGAACAAAGCCATCAATAATAATTGATATCATTAATGGATAAATGTTAGACCACCATTTGTAGCATGGAAGCATCGGACGGCAGTTTAGTCCAAGTATGGGACTCCTCAACAGTGCGCATTCACGACCCAACACGAAGGACTTAAGGTCCTGGATTCGAGTTCCATTCCTTACACTGATACATGAGTAAATGAATGTTAAATTTATTAACAAGTGATACATGTTAGTTCCCGAATAAAAAAATATGCCATTTTACAAATGAGGCCTGCGTAGCTATATATCTGCGCTCATTAAACTCTTTTATATAATTAGGTTAGTCAATATTTTCCTGAGATCCGGTAGATAACTGATATATAATGAACAAACTGAATCTTAAAAAAGAATGAAAGGCTTGCTTGTCTATACGATAATGAACTTAAGTGTACACAACTTGAATAGGAAGTGAGCTGCTACAGTTTTCTTTGTAATGTACCACTGCATGGAATGTTTATATTTCTGAAATTACTACTGTATGTGACTTCGATGGTATTTATGCGTATCCTTAAGAAAATTTACAACTAAAACAGTTGATAAGACCACAAATACCATTTATGGATCTAATTTGGGTCCCACTGAAGCAAAGGAGAAACTTGATCCGTTTTTTGTACGAGAGTTAGACGTATCTGTACCGAGGATAAATCTGATATCAAACTTGATAAAATACGGCTGATTCTTGCAAACAATGAATATCCGCATAGATTCATTGGGAAAAATCCGAAGTTAACGTAACAACGTGAGTGTCCACAGCACCAAAGAAGACTCCCTTCAGTTTTAATGATACTGTAGCGGAAATTCTGAAGAACAGACTTTCAAGATCCCTATTCTGCTGAACTCAGCATTATCTTTTCCAGTCGGCCTATGATTCGAAGTTGTGTGAAGGGTAAGTTTCCGCTTTGGGTTAAACAAATGTGCACCTAGCAGTTTACTTGGTCATGTGGAGCAGGTTATACTGCCCACACAAAGCGAGCTCTTTCGAAACGCATCTCCAAACACTACCCTACCTAGCTCTTCAAAGGATTACAGAGGTTAGTCAAAATCTCGGTCTTGGAGCAGATAGTCAATTTCGACTACTCCGTATCTTCAGAAGCCTCCTTCAAAATCACACATTCAGTCAGAAGATTGGGTTCAATAGGAATGCAAATAAAAATTATGCACAACAAAGGCTACCCACTCGTTCAAACCTAACCCTGGCGCACGAAAACAGTTGGTTTAGTCCTTTATTCTTCACCTTACCATTTTTTCATTAGCCGATAATTACATAACCTTTCAATATCCGATTTTCAAGTCTTGACAACACACCACTTCAAATGCTTTAAATATTTATCATCATTCTATCTTACTATAGAATACTATCTTAGCAAATAAAATTAGCCACAAGTACGATTGCACAGCTTAAGTTAATGAATTCGTAGAAAAGAAAGTTTTCCTCAGCCGTATCGTCTTCTTTTTTCTTCAATGATAATACGTCTCTTTCGTTAGTTTCTGGTTATTTGATTAACTAAGAACCATTTATAATTATATTCCTGTGATTCACTCATGATCTACATTGTATTCATCATTGATTTCAAAAAACTTTCCGTCCAAGAGTTTACATTTCCATATGCACATTCTACAATTAAATCACTTAAAAAATGGTTGGCTATCATCAAGATTGAAGTAAAAAGATGACACTACTTGCTAGTAGTTAGCAATAAAACCAATCAATTTGAATTACTTATAAATATAGAGCATATTCGCTCATTAAAATTAAATGAGTAACATGACCATCAATGTAGTTAAGTATTTAATGATGAGTTCCATGTAAAAACACAAAACAAGTAATCCATGAAAGTTAACTTTGATCACCTAAGAATTAAGGTGTAGAAGATTTACGGAACTCGGCTAATAACTACACTGCTACACAACAGTTATATCCTCCCATGAAATTACAACTTTTATATTGAGATACCTGGTATTCTAGTAACCAGGATAATAATGAGACCATTGCTTTACATGAAGTTGTAGAAATTATAAGCATACGTGGTCTGTTTGCCAGTCACCCAGAGGTAATATAAATAGCTAACCATGGTTCATTTATCTTAAATTCACATCCATGTACCCAGGAAAATGAGTCCAAGTAATTTTGCATTCAAAATCTCACGACGATTGCGAAGAAGCGAATATTCTTCCTACTGATCAACTACTTGGATATTCAGGACGTTACTCGTAACCAAAAACTGAGCTAACTTATGTCGATCATGACCTTAGTGTAGTGGATTACCAAGAAATCCCAGTAATTCTTTTCATTAACTTCTTCAGACACAGTAAAAGCAAGGCTTGACTGAGTCTTGTGGTATATTCAATTATCACCCTTCTATGTATGATCACGTATATTATATGGAGCATGATCTCAAAATAAGAATGTGTTGCTACCTTCAAGTTTTGCTCAACCACAAAATTTCTAATGTGAGATTCTTCTGTACCATCACATTACCGCCATGAATGGCAGTTAGCAAAGATATGTACAATGAAACGACTACCCGTCATATTGTTTCCAGTGTACATGATTCAGTCCAATAAATTTTGCTGCAAAAGTTTGGGAAAAGCGCAACAATATTCCCCAGTGTTTATATCTCGATTTTATTAAATTTATAGCTGTTGTCTACTATAGTGGCAAAATTGTTTAGTTTTTAACATATTTAATGGTTCACCTTTTATTACTTAATTTAACTAGTTCCTTAAACACTAAATTATTATTATTTCGAACGATATAGCTAGTTGGCTGATTTGATGCACATTATGCTTCACGTAAACAATAATTTAAACTTTTCCTAAGAATTCTTCCTATCTAGTGTCTCAAATAATCATCAGGTTTCACCTTTGACTGGTCTGCATACAAACAGAAACAATCGACAAATCAACTTATTGTCGCATCATTTACAAGAAATACATCGACTAAATATATTTTCTTTTGCACCCACGGTCTATTGTCTGTTTAAAACAGCAGTGGCCCTTCAAGCATAGTGTTACAGGGTCAAATTTTGTTCCATTTACTTCGGCATAAGCAGTCGAGCAGTTCATTGGCTCAAACACTTAAATTGTGACGAGTGAACAAACTTACTTTACTACTGAGTTGGAACAACTCGACTGGAGAGAATGGGCATGATAGTTATGTGCATATTTTGAGTATTACTTACTTACTTACGCTTGTTACCCCCAATGGAGCATAGGCTGCATTTTGAGTATTAACACAACTTAAACGAACTAGAGACATATAATAGTAGTATAAATCTACATATAAATTAGAATCCCTGTCAACTAATAGTGATCAGCATACTAGACGAGTGGGCTACAAAATCGGGATAATTTAAAAACTTGCAACCAGATAACGGATTTCACAGAGGTGATCAGGCGAAAAGTCAACCAGTTTCAAAGGGACTAGTGTACAGAAACTAAAGAACCTTATTTGGAAACGAGATAATTCGAAGGATTTTCTAAATGGTGCGTTGTCTGACTACTGATATACAGCATGAACCCCAGTATGAAAAGCATCATTAGACCAAATACTGAAATAAGCATTATTTACATTTTCAAGTGTAAATACATGCATAGTTATATAGGCTTGTTTAAAAAGCGACTGAATCATTCATAGACAAAGATTGGAAAGACATTTTCACTTTGAAAGATAAACTATAGGTGGGTCTAAATTGCCAGAATATATTAAAAGCCTGTCTTTTATAAAACAAATAACAGTTTATTGGTATGTATAATGTGATATGATACATATTTTTGGAGGAAGTGCTGAAAGAAGTATATAAACACTGTAGGACCTAGGGGAAATATGTCATTTTAAACTGGTTTACTTCACATGAGTACTGGGATGTTAACGAGATAGAAATCAACAGTTGTAGAAAACTTACAGAGGAAGTCAAGAGAATCTACTGAAGTGAACAATTAGGGATAATCCTGTGTATATTACTAAAAGGAAGACGAAAGTGAATACATGAAGATCACTGTTACCTATTTTGAGGCATATCATCTTATACTCATAAATAATCGATTACAATTATCTTGAGTGCCGAAACCAAAAAAGCCTGCACGTGTTGGACTAATGATCACACATTATGAGCAATATATTGATTCAACTGCCAGTAACCTTTTTCCAACACACTACTACGCTAGTTAGCGTACAACATTGAGGTAGGTAATGGGTAGGAAAAATGTAAAAGAATCGTAATGAGCAATGGCTTGGTAATAAGTCAGAACAAAAATAAAAGATAGCTACATGATATGTTTGGTGGAATGCAAGTAATCAATAAAAGTCAGTAAAGGAATAAAATATTAGTTAATTACATACATTCCCTTTTCCACTTGGTCACATATGGTTTTTATTTGATTAGCGAAGAATTCGTAATTAAAAGGTTGGTTCCGAGCATAAAAAGGATTTTTCAACACAAAATCTGTATAAGCCTCGTACACCCTGCGGAGAGCCTCGCGAGAAGCCATTGGTAATTTAACATCAGTAACAAGTAGGAATTTAACACCGGTATGGGTTTCGAAACAATGAACACGGCAACATTCCGTTTCCAAAGTTTGGATACCAGAATTCCAAACTCGTGGGGCCTTCTTATCATTAGCCGGAGAAATAAAGCTGAAGCTGGAATCCGGAATTGGGGAAAGAAGTCGAGCCATTGAGTGTAACGGATGGAACATACTAGCAAGGTGAATTCGGTCATTTGGACGTAGTCGAGGTCTTCCAAGTTTAATAGTCAGTGGAAAGTTGTCCTTATCTGAAAAAACCTCCAAACAGAAAACCACTGATTATCAGCTTCTCAAACGGTAAACCTCAGTATGAAAAAAGTGGTTACTAGAAATTATACCTGGCAGTATGCTTGAAGATAGCTATCATAACCAGACAAAATGAATACTGAGCTACAAGTCTCCATTGCATTATAAGTACAATAAACATTGAAAAGACCAGGTTTTTGAATCTTTGTTTACAACCGATTAACAGAGTACTCACTATATACTTATTAGATGTATCAATAACAAATGTGACTTGTATCTTAAGTTATTGTGAGTGAATTGATTGTTTTGAAGTTAAAGAACTGAAGAGGATCCACCTAGGGAAGTTGAAAAACCCTGATTCCAAACCAATGGTGCATATAGGCTCCGGGATCCTAAGGGATTAAGTAGCATATGAACCTATTGTTGGTCACCAACTACCATAGGACTGCATCTCCAAACGTTGCTCCATTGTCTTGTGGATTAGACCTAAAGGTCAAAGGCTTGGGGGTGGTCCTCAAAGAAAACCACCTGCTTCGGTTTAGGCACCCGAGCAGTTTTTCAGCCCTCACATAAATCAAATGATTTGCGAGGCACATATATATTTAGTACCTTCTAGTACCCTTGTTTATGTGTTTAGGTAAATAAACAAACAAAAAAACCAAGTCAACAAATGGACCCAGAGTAGTGAACTGAGATGGTGGTTGAAAGTTTTGCCACTTTTTGGTGGGTAGGTCATACATCCCAAGACAATTAAATGTATTCTTTAGAGGTTCAGAAAGCGGAACGTGCGTGGAAATATATTGGTGGGAAGTATAGAAATAGAGAAAATATACGCTCTCTGATCGTCTCAAGGTCCTCTCCAGTGAACCGAGTAACAATGCCAGGATATTTGGAATGCGTTTCTCTCCCTCTAAATGTAAATTGTTACTCCAGGACTGGCCTGCGTCAATACCTGAACTAAGGATAGGAAGTGAAGTAGTCGAACGCGTCGACAACTTCACTTATCTTGGAAGTTTGATCAGCCCTAATGGGTTGGTGTCTGACGAAATCTCAGCACAGATTCAAAAAGCTCGTTTAACTTTAGCCAACTTGCGTCACCTATGGCGAAGACGAGACGTCCTTCTATCAATTAAGGGACGAGTATACTGTGTAGCAGTTCGTTCTGTTCTACTTTACGGTTGTGAAACATGGCCATTAAGAGTAGAAGATACCCGTAAGTTACTAGTATTTGATCATCAGTCAGTCAGTCAGTTACGACGTAGAACTTGGTACGTACGTACATCAGTTCGAGTTGCCATACCACATTAGCACAGAGATGAAGTTGTCGATCCGAATCCCATAGTGGTAGAAGTAGTAAGAGTATAAGTATTATGTGAAAGATAAGGGATTGAAGATGTTATTGAAGGAGTATAATACGGCGAAATAAATTAGGAAAGAGAAAAAGGATAGGGACATGAGGAATTCAGAAGATTAGAACTTGGTAGAACACAGGGAGTGGATGCACCTTCGCCATTGCAAACGATTTTGAGCCATGTCATTCAAGGTCTCTAACCATCGGTTGCTGCCATCTCGCGAATCCCAACCAGGTAGTCTACACCTACCAACATGGCCCAGTCCACTTGTCAGTGACTTCATTGATTTGTACCACGTTTTGGTCTAGCCGCTCCTAGCTTTCTTCCAACCTACTTCTACACCATGAAACATTGCACGTCGGGGCAGTCGGTGGTCGGGCATACGTAACACATGTCCCAGCCATCTCAACTGATGAAGTTTCACTACTTCATCAATCGATTTGCCATCCCTACCTAGCACTCGTTTCCTAACAACTGCATTACTTACCCGGTGGTCCCAGGATATACGAGCAATGCTTCGAAGACACCTATGATCGAACACTAGTAGTCTACGAATATCCTCTACTCTTATTGGCCATGTTTCACTGCCATAAAGTAGGACGGAGCGAACTGCTGCACAGTAAACCCGTCCTTTGGTTGCTAGACGGATATCTCGCCTACTCCATAAATGACGCAAGTTGGCGAAAGCTAGACGAGCCTTCTGTATCCGTGCTGAGATTTCGTCACATACCAGACCACAAGGGCTGATGAGACTCCCAAGATAAGTGAAGTGGTCTACACGCTCAACTACTTCACTCCCTATCATTAGTTCAGGTGTCGCTGCAACCCAATCCTGAAGTAACATTTTGCACTCCGAGGGAGAGAATCGCATTCCGAACATGCCTGCATAGTTGCTTATAGTAGTCAGAAGACTCTGCATGTTGTCAGCGTCTTCACCGAGTAAAACTATGCCGTCGGCGTATTCTAAGTCAACAAGTGAGCCTCCTGGTAAAAGTTCAACTCCTGGAGGTTTAGCTGATGAAAGTGCTATCTCTAAAAGTATGTCAATGACAAAGTTAAACAAGAATGGGGAGAGTGGACAGCCCTGACGAACGCCACTTGTGGTAATCAGTTCTGATGACAGTTCGCCATAGGCTCTAACTCGACCAGTTGTGTTCGAGTAGAGAGCCTTTATGAGGTTAATGTACTTCTTTGGTACTCCTTTCAGTGACAAACATTGCCATAGAACCTCACGATCAACGGAGTCAAATGCCGCCTTAAGGTCAAGAAATACTACGATTGTGGGACGTCTGAATTTGTGTCTATGTTCTAGAACCTGACGTAGGGTGAATATCTGGTCTATGCAACCACGTCCAGGTCGAAAACCAGCTTGGTTTTCTCTAGTCTGCTCTTCACGAGCTTTGGTTAGGCGACCTAGTATTATTGAAGCTAATATTTTAGACACTATATTAGTCAAACTGATCCCTCTGTGATTGTCACAAGAGGACTTTTGTCCTTTCTTATAGACTGGCACAATCAGTGATTGGGACCAGTCAGATGGAATTACGTCCAGTTCCCAGATTCTACCTAAGACCTCAGTCAATCTCACTGCTAGTACTGGACCACCATCCTTAAAAATCTCAGGGGTCAACCTGTCAGGGCCTGCTGCTCTCCCTCGCTTCAGATTTCCTATAGCTTTTTCAACCTCACAGAGGGTTGGAGGACTTACATCAATTTGCCATTCAGGACGACTGGGGATCGTGGGTAATTGAAGTGTGGCTGAAGGCCAGTTGAACTGATCCCTAAAGTGTTCTGCCCATCGATCCAATCTCCTGGATTGAGAATGAATAATATGCCCATCTTTATCTGAGATGGTTTCACTGATATTCGGGTTCCTAATACCGGTTTCTTTAACGAGTCTGAATAGCTGCCTACTGTTACCTATTGCCGCTGCCTTTTCCATCTCTCTTGCTTTCGCTACCCACCACTGTTCACGATCATTACGTAGGCTTCTTATAAGCCTGCGCTTAAGTTGACTCCGCTCTTCGTTATGCTCAGAGCCAGGTGGGATGAGTTTACGAGCATCTATCAGTGCGGTAGATGCTGCCGAGATCCATTGTTTCTCCCTAACGTTATGGTTTACCTTACTAGCGGATATCACTGCTGTTTCCACAGCTTTTCGGATGTCATTCCACGCTGCCTCGGGGTGGACACAACTTACATAGCTGCCTAACTGTTTTTCTAGTTGTTCCTGAAATATATTCTTAGCTTGCCTATCATTAAGTAGAACCCTTAGAGGCTTCCCTGCAGTGTCTTTCCTACGACCAGTAAGACGCAGACAGATACGTGCTCGCACTAGAGCATGATCTGAATCTAAACATGTGCTCCAGAATGAGCGACAGTCTTCTATCGAGCCCCTCCATCGGTGGCTGATAGCGATGTGATCTAATTGGGTCCAACATTGGGACGAATTCGGGGGTCGCCATGTCAAAAGATGTTTTTCCTTATGCTTAAAGTTAGTATTTGCAAGAAATAGGCGGTTATCTGAGCATAGCTGCAACAGACGGTCGCCATTATCTGTTCTTTTCGCCATGACACTATAAGATCCACCCAGGTGTCTTTCCCTTTCGCTTAGTTTACCTACTTGAGCATTAAAGTCACCTGCTACTATTACTACATCAGAACGCCTAGCTTCTCGGAGAAGGTCAGAAAGTTTCCTGTAGAACTCATCTTTTATATCGTCTGAGCTGCAGTCAGTGGGAGAGTAGGCAGAGACGACGAAGAGGCAACGACGAGTTTCCCTATCTTTCCGGGTCCTTACTGATCCGTTTAGTCGGACAGCGCATAGACGACTGTCTACTGGGATCCAGTCTAAAAGAGCTAGTTCTGCCCTAGGACTTAATGCTATACCTACTCCAGCGAGGCCACGGGAAGCAGCATCAGGGCTTCCAGATACACGAAGCGTGTATCGAGATGAAACTTTATTTTGATTAGGTGCGGTCAAATGAATGACACTACTCGGATCTTGTATGCGCGTTTCGGAGACGCAGCACACATCGATGGTGTAAGATTCTAGAGTCCTAGCTAAGGAAGCCTGTTGTCCTATTTGGCACAATGTTCGGACATTAAAAGTTCCTATATGTAGTTTAGAGCGTGGTTTCAGGAGACCAGGAATAACGTTCTGTGTACTCGAATCGTTTGCCCTAGCGGTGCGAGGTGATAAAAGGACGTGGGAAGGGTTAGTCGTGGAGACAACAGAGTTATTAGGTGTAGGAAGGATTTGAAAGCGACCAACTTGGTCTTGTGTGCAGTTAAGGGTATGAGGGCTAGTATCACTTCCCGGCTGCCCACACCGTGGAAGGGTATTTCTTGAGGGACCTGAAAAAGAAGTTGGATTAGTGTTGGTCTTAACGACCTGGGAGCGTGACCGCAGTGCCCAAGGGACATCTGCTTGAGGCCGGTCACGCACGGCCTTTTTGTGGGGGATTTTTGATGTGTTAGCTCCGTTCTTCAAAAGTCCTTACCGCCGGAGACGGGAATCTGTGGGATAAGGCGAGGTGTGCATTTTTAGGGTCGACCTTTTCTAACCCCACCCCTCCTTGTGGGAAGGCAGCATCGCTGTCATGCTGGTTGTCTGAAGGAAACACCTTACTGCTTTCACACCTCTGTACAGTCAGCAGTACGACTTCGCCTTCGGACCTTGGGATTGCTGCTTTTAGTCTCACCGCTCTTCAACCGACCTGTCTGGCATGGTAGGACGTTGAGGAACGATTGCTCCAGCCAGCATAGCTCGATTGGATCATCACGATAGGCAAGCCCGACCACCACGTCAAGGTAGCAGCAACGGTCGAGATATTTGATCATACATGTCTTAGAAATATTTTTCGCATCTGCTGGGATAACCGGGTAAGTAATAGTGAGGTTAGACACAGTATATTAGGGAATGATGGTAAACCAGTTGATGAGGTCATGAATCTCCATCGACTGAGATGGTTAGGCCACGTGTTACGTATGCCTGAACACCGATTACCACGACGTGCTATGCTGACTAGTATTGGAGGTGGTTAGAAGAGAGCTAGGGGCAGCCAAATCAAAACGTGACATCAGTGCTTGAAGTCACTAACTTCTAGTCTAAGCCATGTTGACAGATGCAGACTACCTGGTTGGGGTTTGCGCGACTATCGTAACCAATGGTTGGAGACTCTAGGTGACAAGGCTCAGAATCGATCACAATGGCACAGGTGTATACACTCTTTATCTTCCCTTAAATCTTGAGATTAAAATTGCTTCATATCTGTCTTTCTTCCTGTGCTATATCCTTATATACAACCTTTTTTTATATACTACCACCACTAAATTAACTACTTTTATGAATTCGGTGTACATCTTGTTGTGATAATGAGGTATGACAACTTGGACCGATGCATATATGTGTCTGGTCTCACGTTGTAGCTGACTGACCTCTCCAGTGAAGAGAGTCATGGAATTTTTTAAGAGGTTGAGCGCTAAATATGGCAATGAAAGAAATAAATTTGAGTTCATAACTGAAACCGGTACCTAGTGGAGAACCACAAGATTCTATCCTTAGTCCTTTACTCTTTATATCGTATGTAAATGAACTCTCAAGTATGGTTGAGTCCCAAATGCTACTATACGCTGATGATGTAAAATCTAGTGGGAAATATCAAAAGACGCAAATGCATGCGCACTGCACAGAGACCTAAATATTCTGATTAGCTGGTCAGAAAATGACTGATGTCTATCAACGTGGCCAAGTGTGTCTACAAGCACTTTGAGAATACAAAGATAAACGGTTACAACATAAAAAAAGTGCTTGCATCCGTGATCTGGTCTAAAAAGGATCTTGGGGTGAGTGAGTCATGACCTTAAGACCATGGCTCACTGCCGTGAGGTTTCAGCTAAGGAGTTTTGAACCCTATGAGTTTCAAGACAGACATTCACCAAGCTAGATGCTACTATGTTCACTAGAAGTATACACAACCTTAGCGACAACTAAACTTGAAAACTGCGTTCAGGCTGCAAGCCCCCGTCTAAAAGGTGACTCGGATATCCTGGAAATAGAGGGTACCTACCCAAGCAACTCCAAAACCTCGGGGTTTACCATAAATGAACAGCTTGAAAAGCTTGACCTTTTTACACTGTCATACCGTAGATTGAAAGGTGATCTGATTTTGATGCATAGAACAATAAGAAGTGATTTTGGAACTAATATATCCTTTTTTCCTACCAGATCGGGAAAACTCAAAGGACATAGCAGGTGAGTAGAAAAGCGAAGGACGAACAAAATACTAATGGCATACAGGTTTTCACACCGAGCCGTCAATTCTTGTAACCTGTTACCCGAAGCAGTGGTGTCCGAACATTCACTTGACTTATTTAAGGGGTTAGACTCACAGAAGCATAATAAAAATGGAATAACGAAGGCTCTCTGTTCTTACTACACAAACCTGAAATAAAAGGTGAACAGTGTAATCTTTTGCTGCACCTAAAGTAGTTTTCGGCATTATTCACGATTTGTGTTACGAGACCTATATCAGATTTGGTGCATCAACAGTAGGGATAGCAAAGTGGGCATATAAATAAAGCTAGTATCTTTAGACATAAGGCACCTACTTTGAATGAATAAGTCGTGATTACTTGCTTTCAGTTTGTATAATCGTGAACTGCTTCTAAACATCACATCAATGAACACATAGTCCCAGCTTTAGCCGATTCAAAATACTTGTAAAGTGAATGTGACTATATTGCACAAAACACATGAATGCTAAGATTACTTACTTTCAAAATATCCCTGTTATCTTCCAGAGATGTCCCTTTAGCTGTAATGCCGTCAACAGATATTACAGTGTACCCTATTTTTACATCGTCACATGCACCAAAATCCACAACAATACGGCCATCCACAACTTTGAAATGGAACGGGAGTGGAAAATCGTATCTCTTTTCTACTTCGACGTTAACGTCAGAATGGTCATAATAAAACTGTAGCGAACCCGATTCACTAATCACGTAAATGCCGTATACACTCATTTTCGTGCTGAACGTGATTCAGACTTTAAAAATCAAGTACGACAAAAAGGAAGCATGAACATACACCAGAACAATGATATGAATTTCAATTTTATTGATGACCAGACACAAGGTTTGAAGATTCAAATGGTTGAGGACGGAATAGAAGAAGCTTTCGCTTAACGGGCTTCCGTGTCTGTTAGCAGTGGATAACCAATACCTCCAGGCAAGAACCTAGGTATATGAACGATAATAGAGGGAAAAAAAGAATTTGGTAAATCATAATAATATGTTATCCTTAGTCCTTAAGAATAAGTCAAGTTTTCTCTTAAAGGACTCCTGGGAGGTCGCTTGGACTAGCTCAGTCGGCAGCGAATTCCAGCACTTGACAACTCTAACGGAGTAGAAGTTGTGTCTGCAGTCTGTTCTGCTATGTAGGGTCTCCAATTTCTGGGTGTTACCTCTGAGGTTAGTGTTATGACTAAGCTTAAGAAGTTGTCTAAGGGGATGACCAGAAGTATTAAGGATACTATAAGTCATAAGAAGATCACCTCTAAGACGCCTATACTCTAACGGGTAAAGGTTAAGTGATTTGAGGCGCTCTTTATAAGGTTTGAATTTGAGACCCCGAACTGATTTCGTGGCTCGACGTTGTATACGTTCCAGAGTGACCTTATCCTTTTGGAGGGAGGGAGGAAATACTATGTTTCCGTACTCTAAGTGGGGACGAATAAAACTGTTGAAGATTATGTGGAAGGTTCTACCGTCAAACCGGCCAAAAATGCGCTTCAATGTTACCAGTGCAAGGTTTGCTTGAGAGGCGTTTTTGTCACAGTTCGCATACGATTTCAGGTCGCAGGGTACCAACACTCCTAAATCTTTTTCAACTTGGGAAACTTCTAGAGGTGAGTTACCTAAGTTATAATTATAGTCTGCAACATGTCTCAGATGGACTACCTTGCACTTTGAAGTGTTGAAGGTAAGTCCGTTGTCGTCTGCCCAACTTTGAAGTCGAGTCAGATCCTCCTGCAGAACTAGTATATCATTGTGATTACGTATCTCTCTCCAAAGTTTCACATCATCAGCAAAAAGCAATAAATCAGATGAAACTTGTTGAGGAAGATCGTTAATATAAATCAAGAAGAGAAGAGGTCCTAGTATTGAACCCTGGGGGACCCCACTAGGACATTCCATAGCCTGAGAGAGAGTGAAGTTAACCCTGACCTTAAAATGTCGGTTTTCTAGGTATGAAGTGATCCAGTCAATCAGTCTTCAGTAATAAGGATAGAAGGTCTAGTGACCTATTTTAATCCTTGCAGTTTGTTACACTGTGGAGGTCCAATCTCGTCTTGAATATATCAACAGAAGGTGCTGATATTACGTGTTCTGGTAGAGAATTCCAGTAATTCACTACTCGGTGCGAGAAACGAAACTCCAGACGTAGACGATTTGATCTCGGTTTTTGGACTTTCTTTGAATGTCCTCTCAAATGCTCAGCCCTAGACGGGAGGAAAAGATAGGACATGTTAGTACCAAGGTCATCGTTCAGGATTCGATATGCCAATATTAGATCACCCCGTATTCGCCGGTAAGATAACGGAAATAAGTTGAGGTGTCTCAGTCTGTCTTCATAAGATAGGCTAGATAAGCCTTTTACCATTTTTGTCCCGCGGCGTTGGACTCGTTCCAACATATCCGCCTCATATTTGAAACAAGGACTCGCTGCTTGAATCCCATATTCCAAATGTGGCCGTACGAAAGTTGGGTATAATAATCTAAACATTCTCCCATCCAGATACCGGAAAGATCTACGAATAGACCATAATGCCCTATAGCCTTTTGCAGCAGCAGCCTTACAGTGACTGGTTGTTTTGAGATCATTACTTAGTATGACTCCTAAATCTTTATAGTTTCTTACTTTGGGCAACACTAGTCCACATAATGTGTAGTGATACGAATCATCGTAGTTATTTAATTGCATCACAACACTTTTATTAGGGTTTACTTCTAGTGACCACCCATTCATCCATGCAACTAGTGAGTTAAGATCTTCCTGTAAAACTATTCTGTCGGACATACTATATATGGGTCTCCAAATCTTAATGTCATCGGCGAATAGTAGGACGGATGACTTAGCTATAGCTGGTAATTCATTTATATAAAGTAAAAAGAGAAGAGGACCTAAAATCGTGCCTTGGGGGACGCCACTTTTTACTGGTTCCCACGATGAGAGAGCCCCATTTACTCTTACCCGTTGTCTCCTTTCATGAAGAAAGTCACTTAGCCAGTCTATGACTGCATAATGAATTCCAAAACTTTCTAGTTTCAATTTAAGACCAGAATGGGAAACCTTATCAAAGGCTTTACTTAGATCTATGAAAATGACATCTACATGAATATTGCGATCTTTTGCCTCAGCCCAATCTTCTCTTGCAATGAGAAGATTTGTCAAACATGATAGACCTTTTCGAAAACCATGTTGTTCCTTTGACAAAAGATCATGTCTTTCCACGTAGTTTATAACAGCCATCCTAATAATTTTTCCATTAGTTTTACAACTGCACTAGTTAAGCTGACGGGTCGATAGTTACTAACTAAATCCCTACACCCAGTCTTATACACCGGACTGATTATTGCGTCCTTCCAGTCTCTGGGCAATCTGGACTGCCGTAGGGACATATCGAACAGCATCGCTAAGGGTTCAGCAATGACATCTGAGAGGGCTTTCATAATCCGAGGATGAATATCATCAGGACCACTAGACTTATCAGGTTTGAGATGCTGGAGTAGGCTTAAAACAGTTTCTTTCTTAATAACTACAGGGTCCTTCAACAAGTCGCCACAATCAAAATGAATAGGTGATCGTTCCTCATTATTGGTAGAAAAAACTTTACTGAAATATTCCGAAAAAGCGGAAGCTTTTTCGGTATCATTTCTTGCCAAACTTAACGGATTTTCTTGTATCAAAAGTGATGGTATTCCATCACTTCTCTGAGTTCGCCTCTTTATATACGAGAATAACCGTTTTGGACTATGTTTGCAATCCCTAACCAATTGTTTTTCGTATGACCGTCTAGTTCTAATTAACGCTTTACAATTATTTCTAATCTTACGATAACTAGATCTGTACTGTTCTAAGCCAGTAGAGATGAACATGTTCCAGTGTTTTTTTCTACACCTAAGGAGTTTCTTAACTTCTTTATTTATCCACGGTGGACTATTGTTCGGTCTACGTGGCACCAAGTATGGTATGAACGGGGATGTGACTGCACTAAACTTGCCTTTAAATACAGACCACGCCTCATCAACTGATGAGCTAGTATCTACTGACCAATCTATCTTAGTAGCACAATCCTGAATTTCTGGTATGTTAGCTCTCAATATGTTTGGGCGAGGCTTAATCTGATCGTATATCATATCGCTAGCTCTAAACGTGAATGATAAAACAGCGTGATCGCTATTTACTAACGGGGGAAGAATATTTAGGTTGGCAATATCCTCAGTCTCATGAGTAATTACCAAGTCCAACAGAGAACCTTGGTTTACACCAAAACGTGTAGGTTTGGATACATGTTGTACTAGTGCATGTTCCATTACTGTTTCCAAGAGCCTGCTATCAAATGAGTTTATAGAGCATTTCGTGGTCATCTCAGTCCAACTAATGTCAGGTGCATTAAAGTCTCCTAATATCAAGCATCTGTTATTTGCACTCCATAGCCGAATGTGCTTTAAAATAAAGTCATCAGCTAAGCAGATTGGGCTGCGATAGATGACACTGAGTGCAAATGTACAACATCCGACAGTGAGTTCACAGCTAATGACTTCACTAGTTCCACTATCATGGGATTCGCAAACGGAGGAGCGGATATTTATACTATTGGCTATGTATAGAAGGACGCCACCTCCTTTCCTGCATCTATGTCTATCACTTCTTAAACAATGATATCCGGATAATTCTGGGGTGATATCGAAGTCATGGACTAACCAAGTTTCCGTCACAGCTACAATGAGTGGCCTTAATTTGTCCACTAATGTTCCTAGCTCGTAGAATTTATGTTTTAGACTACGGGCATTGGCATATAAAACTCCTAGGGGGAACGACCTATCCACACAGGCCTTGGTAGCATTCGCTTCCAAGACCTGACTATTCAAAAACCCACCAATCGGAGATTTTCTTCACCGTTTTGTCGACGGGTTTCTAGTTCAGCTAGTGCCGTCCTCCTTTTTATTCTATCTTCAAGAGACACATCCGGTCGCATTCGAATATCAGAGTTGTCGTGACTTCGAGCGTTACTTAACAGAAGATTATGTTGTTTCTCCGACCCTAAGATTACCTTAAGGAGTCTACACGGTCAGGGTAGAACACTGTCATCGGCTCTTTTACCTATTCTAACTAATTTTTTGACCTGAACACCTTTAGTGTTATCTGGTAATGTGCTACGGATATATTCTCCGAGCCTCTCTAAGTCATGGGTGTGTCTAACCTTAGGATCTGGGTCGTTAGACTCTGGCAATTTACTCACAATAACATTCGATGATATTAAATTCCTCTCAGTCGCACTAGGATGATGATCTGCCGTTCTATCAGAGTGCGATAATGCATTGAGTGACTCAGACTGTGAGTTCCTCAATGGCTTGTCAACCAAGTGTGCTTTATCATTAGCTTTTTTTCCTTTCCTTTTCCTCTTTACTGAGGTCCATTTTTGGTCATTCAGGACAGCTGCATTAGGACTATTGGGGACGGTGACGGTTTTATCCGGGTCCTCAATTTCTACTAAAGATACATGATTACTCATGTCAATACCATGTGGTGATTTACTCCTCGTTTGTTGTAACGGAAGTTTCACTTCGTCATTAATTAGAGTAGGTTGTTCAGCGCGTTTTGTAACAGCACTTACAACACTGACACAGTCTTCACTGTCAGTGCTTGCGTTACTAGCGCACCCACTATCTTTCTTTTTACAGGCTAGAGCCAATAGGCTCATAGCCTCTTGAATTAATGTCGTCTTGTTAGTACAGCAGAACATACAAAGCCAGTGCGAGTTAGGCTTAGAGCATCTTTTGTATGCAGCTGGACTGAGACGGGTACACATCTTGTGGTACCATTTTTTGCATTCATCGCACTGCATCCCTTCATTTACGGGGAAAAAACAGTTCGGCTGTCCACATTTGAATGAACTACCAACCATTGTAATCAGATTAGGTTTAAAAAACAATATGATCACAATAATAGCACAAGCGTCAGAGTATATGCAAAAGAAGGAACCAAGAGACAAAGTTTTCAATAAAATTTCAAACCTTAACTGGATTAATTCAAGTTAAAGTAGACCAAGAATGCTTTTGATACAGCAAATACACAAAAGCAACGATAATCACAACAAGTATGAAAGTCACTGCCCTTTTTGAAACGCGCGCCAAACACAATCAATCGGTTCTTCCAGATGAATTGATTTCGTATTATTTTAAAGGGATTTAAGGTCCTAGGTTTCCAAGATCACCATAAACTAACATAAGTTATTAATGTCAGGCACTTAACACGACCTTGAATTTAAATCACCAATGATAATATTTTAAAAGTCACTCTTCCTCGTGATGATGCCGAATACTGGATTGTAATGGTGATTTGTATCCGAGATATGTTTTAAGGGATTTAAAATGGATATTTTCGAGGATTTTGTTTTTTCAAAGCTGCAAAAAAGTTTATGATTACTGTTGTGATTGTTTAACATAACACTTTGGGTTTTAAAGACGTACTTTTAAGGATCGTACTCTCGGTTAATTCCGTTCGTCTGGAATGATCATAGCGATATGTAAATTAATTGCATCTACAGTCACAATGAAAAAACCATATATTTCTTGTTTTATTACTCTTGAAGATACTACTGGTATTCTAACTTTACGATTAGCTACACCTTCTATAATCGAAGTTTTTTCCCGACCAGTGGAAATCAGAAGTCAGACGAGAAGAGGTAGGAAAGATATATTTGATTTGTTATCAATATATCAAGGAACGTTTATTCTAAGCTGACTAGTGAACGTAGGAGCAGTGTCCCACGCTGGGTCGAAACGTGATCTGGTGCAGATGCATGACCGAATGCCTTCAGTTAAACAAGTCCACTTAAACAACGTGGTCAGCATCCAATGTCGAACACTTAATGAGCTATTGATTTTGGGGAGTTATTTACAGCTACAGATCACTCCTCCCTTAGTGAGGGAGTGATGCCCCTAAAACGTGACCAGCCAGAAGTTTAAACCCAACGAGTTTGTCGTCGGTAAGCACTCTTCTGAGAGCTTGCTTCGTTTAGCAGCGACTGGTCGTCTCTCCTTACACTAAGGGACCATGAGGTACAACATAGCAATAAGGAAATAAAGTACAATGAAAATTTCGGTTCCTTGTGAAACTTCGTCGTTCTTTTCCAGCCGTCCTGGAAAAGAGAAAAAATAGAACGTGTGAGTGCATGTCGAAAATACACTCGTACTTGCTTAAGAACACAAGATGAGCGGAAAATAAATAAATAAATAAACTAATACACTTGCAAACAGCGTAAAAGCGATTAGAAAAAAATAGGTTTTTTCTGTTTTTTATGTGAAAAATATATATATATACGCTCATAAGTAAAAAAAATTGTTTTTTTTAAAATAAATATATAAAAATAAACATAATAAAGGGAAATTCTTTATTTTTTAAAAATTAATGCGAAGGGGATTCGAGATAAAGTTTGTGTCCTACTTGCAATAGTCGTTTAGATATTCTGGAAATCTTAATCTTCTTCCAGAACGCGTTGTCTCGAGTTTATCTTTCGACATTGACAAAGTATCAAGGTGTGTGTCGGTTGTCTTGTGGGGTACTACAGGTGTAGTAGCTGTGTCGTTTGCTTGTAGAGAAGGAAAATCGACGTAGCTAGGGTTTCCTTCTAAGTACGATGCTTTGAGTTGATCAATATTGGTGCTATCGTTCGTACCGTTCTTATCCACTACATAGTACTTAGGTTGATGTTGAAGAACTTTGAAGGGTCCTTCGTATGCTGATTCGAGAAGTCGTCGATATGAGTCTCGACGAACGAAGACGTGTGTACTATGTCGTAAGTCAGGTTGAACGAAAACATCAGTTGATTGAGGTAGAGTGTGAGCAGGTTTGACTGAACACATTACATTTGTAAGCTTACTCGTGGAAGAGTTTAGATCCATGTTCAATGAAGAAGCCGAAGGATCTACGAATTCTCCTGGAAGTCCGAGTGTCGTTCCATAAACGAGTTGAGATGCAGTGTACCCAATGTCAATTTTCACTGCATTGAGGATACCTAGCAAGACGAGTGGAAGAGCGTCTGTCCACTGTGAAACGTTTATAACTGTTAGTGAAGCTTTAAGTTGTCGATGAAAACGTTCTACCAACCCGTTTGCTCGTGGGTGGTAGGCGGTCGTTCGGAAGAGAGTTCAAGGAACTTATTCGAGACAAAGCGTCTGCAACTACATTGTTTGCTCCAGAAATGTGTTGTATATCTGAAGTAAACTGCGAAATGTAGTCCAGTTGTCGAGACTCTCGCGGTTAGTACTTATCTGAAGATGAACTTGAAGAGAAGGTAAGAGGTTTGTGATCGATGAAAAGCGTGAATTCTCTTCCTTCGATGGAATGTTGGAAATGCCGTACAGTATAATACATAGCTAGGAAATCCCTACCGAAAGTGCTGTACCTAGATTCCGCGTCTAGCAACCTTCTCAAGAAAAATCCTAAAGGTTGCCACGAGTTGTTAACCGATTGTTGTAACACTCCTCCGATTGCTTAGTCGGATGCGTCTACGGCGACACTAATAGGCGCTTGAGAGTTTTGATGTGCGAGCAGGGTCGCCTTAGAGATATGTTCCTTAACTGTGGAGAATGCTTTTTGAGCGGTGTCGTCTAGACCAATTGCTTTTGCATTTCCACAAAGTTGGTCGGTTAACGTGTTCATAAGAGATGCGCATTGAGGTATGAACCGTCTGTAAAAACTTACGAGGCCGTTAACAGTTCGCAACTGCTTGATCGTGGTCGGTTCTGGGTAATCCAGAATGGCCGCCACTTTGATTCTAAGGGGTCGGATGCCTTGAGCATCAATGGTGAGTCCTAAGAAGTCTAAAGAGGTTGTTTCGATTTGACACTTCTGTATGTTGACAGTAATGCCATGCCTTTGGAGTCGTTCGAAAACAATGTCCAGATGCTGGAGATGTGATTCTCTGTCTGGATTTGCTATTAAACAGTCATCAAAATACGTATGTACGAAGCTGAGACCTCGGAAGACGTCGTCTATAAACCTTTGGAAGGTTTGAGCCGCATTTTTTAGGCCGAAAGGCATTCGTAAGAATCCGTAAAGGCCGAAAGGAGTGATGATGGCGGTTTTTGGAATGTCGTCGGTTGCTACAGGTATTTGGTCACAAGCCTTAACTAAGTCGATTTACGAAATGACAGTTGTACCTTTCAAGGTAGCTGTCAAATCGTGAATGTGAGGCAACAGGTAACGATCGGGAATGGTATTAGCATTTAGACGCCGATAATCACCAGTTGGCCGACAATCATTGCTGTCCTTTTTAGGGACCATGTGCAATGGGGATGCCCATGGACTATTCGATGGTCGAATTATCCCTAGGTCCATCATGTGGTCGAATTCGTTTTTAGCTAACCTAAGCTTCTCGGGAGCGAGTCTTCGAGCTTTCGAAAATACAGGTGGTCCTGTAGTCGAGATGTGATGTGTAACATTGCTGGTTACAAGCAGCAATTTCGGTTGCGGCTGATATATCCCTGAGTATTTGTCGAGTAATGATTGATATATGGGGTCTATGTCAGGCTTAATTGTGACTGGGGATAATCTGCAACCAGAAAAAGGAGTTACGCAAACGGATAACTTAGTGTTTCCGTCTATTAACTTTCATGAGTGTGTGTCGATGAGTAGATTGTGGTATTGTAACAGGTCTATGCCAGTGATTGGCATAGAGACTTCTGCAACAACGAAAATCCAGTGTATGGGTTTGCAGAAACCCACGTTAAGGTAGACGTAGCTTTTACCATACGTAGTAGTCGGCTTTCCGTTTGCCGCCTGTAAACTTAAAACAGACTCGCGAAGTCTGTCGCTAGAGTTTGCGGGAAGAACGCTAACTTCTGCGCCGGTGTCGATGAGGTAGCGAACTTTCGTAGTCACATATGTGACGTATAAGAGGCGGCTGTGTTCGCCGGCTACGGTTGACGTTAACGCGTGCCGGCTGGGAAGTTTCCTGAAGTCTTATTCGTGTCAGTGGATTTGGAGTTCGGATAATTGCAGGGTTTCCTGCAATTTCTAGAAGGTTTACCATACTGGCTATGATACCAACACCAGTCGGGATTGTCTGTCTCTCGACCACGAGAGACAGATCGCTTATGTGGAATGCTCCTACGTGGGGTTTTTGACCGACTACGGTCATTACGAAACCTAAGATATCGTGTAAGTGTGTGACATAGTTCGGCTATGCCAGCCGATGTCGATTGAGGTGTTTCCTTGACGGAAAAGACCTCGGGATTCGTAGATTTTGTGATTTCTAAGATGCGGTCGGCAGATGTGGCTAGTTCGTCTACGGCGTTGTTTTGGAACGAGACGAGAACCGCCTGCACCTGTTTTGGGAGGTTGGATAAAAAAGATCTTTGAATAGACCTTCGTCGAAGGTTCTTTTACCTATTACTTCTCTCATCCTAGGCAACATATCTGTAGTAGAACTGTGTTGAAAGTCGATGTTATGGAGGAGTTGGTCTACCCGTTGTCGGTTGGTCAGGTCTCCACGTTTTAGAATCGATCGGTTTAGACTTAAGTAAGGTTCCGAAACATCACTTGAAAACATACTAGGTGTTACGTACCTGTTGAATTCGCGCGGTAACGCCTTAACCTTAGCGTGAGTCTGTAATGCCGTGGCCGTTAAAGTCGGCTTCTGCGTAGCAGAACCAGGACTCGATATTATCAGGTCAGGAGGGAGTTAATTGAATCGATGATGGGGGAGTAGTCCTTAACTTAGACACTTTAGGTGACTATTCCGCCATAGTAATATTAAGAACGTAAAATGTTTAATTAAGAAATATCCGGGAAAACTCGAGAAAAAAAGTATGTCACAAAATATATGAAAGTCAAATAAAGAATAACAATGAATAATAATACTCCAAAAAGGAACAGACTCACAGTTTGTGCGCTTGGTGCACCAGATCGGTCTCACCATTGAAGATCCGACTAGTATTCTAACTTTACGATTAGCTACACCTTCTATAATCGAAGTTTTTTCCCGACCAGTGGAAATCAGAAGTCAGACGAGAAGAGGTAGGAAAGATATATTTGATTTGTTATCAATATATCAAGGAACGTTTATTCTAAGCTGACTAGTGAACGTAGGAGCAGTGTCCCACGCTGGGTCGAAACGTGATCTGGTGCAGATGCATGACCGAATGCCTTCAGTTAAACAAGTCCACTTAAACAACGTGGTCAGCATCCAATGTCGAACACTTAATGAGCTATTGATTTTGGGGAATTATTTACAGTTTCACTCTCTACATGTAATCACTTTAATATCCAGTTTTTGATTTTATTGCGTCTGTAATGGTAAAAGAATCCTATGAATCAATATTTTTATAAGTCTTCGATATTTGATGCTGACTACATTAGCTTTACTGGGCTCACCTAGCTGAAGGCGCCTGGGCACGTATACGCACCAAATCACGAGTGGGTACGTCTTGCTCCTAGTTTCCTACGACTGCTAGCCAGGCTAGATTGATTGCTTCTCGATATATCGACAGTCTATCAAATATATCCCCGAACCCGTTCGCTTCTAACTGCTAATTTTACTGGGTTGGCACTTTTCGATCATAAGAGGTGTTACTGGTTAAGGTGTTGTCAAACTCCGCATAATTATGTAGTCACTACGCAAATATAAATAAACAGTAATAACTAACTGATTATTATCTAAGTTCCAATTCACTACTGCTTTTTTGTTAACTTAACAAATGAAGCCCGAGGACATCAGAAAAGGTGGATGGATGAATTTAAAGAGCACTTGGATAGACCAGCGTCACTGAACCCACTGGACATTGAGCAGCACATATAAGCCTCCCCATTGAAAGTACCTCAAAAACAATGGCAGAATTATGAAGTTCATGAGATAGAAAATGAATGTAAAACATGTGTAGCGATATAGTGCTTGTGAAGACTATTGAGTCCTGTGTACTTGACTGCCCGCTGATTACGGATTTCAAATACAATACATTCATTTGTATTCAACTAGTTCTTCCTACCTTGAATCGCACAATCTCGTGAATTCCTAGTTTGCGCATAAACTTGAATACTTCTATTTACCATGAGAGATAACTGTACATATGATAGACGTTTTTCTCTGAAAAATTTGGAAGGGGAATAAAGCACTAGCAGACTGGAAAAATAGACCCCTCTTGAAGATATCAAAGAAAGGAGATTTTGGGGAACTCATGAGCTACAGAGGGATCAGACCATCGTATGCAACATACAAATACTTTGACGTGGGTTCATCTCACTGTGTTTCAGTATGTGTGTGTGTACCTGTTGATGAAAATCCATCCGTATAAACACTTAATGTATCAAAAATACCTATTATATCTTCTTTTTAGCAGATGAGGCTGCTGACGTTCATTTTTTACGATTTCGGAAGGTTTTAGAGATAGTGTTACTTTAACTCGAGTTGAAGTGTTTTCATAAGTCGCTTATTTAAATCACTTTAATGTTCAACCGATTGCTGGGTTTATTATTGATTGTTCGATTTTACTGAATAGCTCTGTGGGCGATGTGACATGGTGGAACTGTGCGTTGAGACAATGTCGTGTAGCTTTTGTGGAATTTATCCACAGGAAACAACGAGTATCTAATTTCACTGGAATCCAAGCTACATCGTTTTTGAAGTAACAGTGTAAGCTATCACTTTCGAAGACTACATGGTGGCCTTCTTTTGTAGGCTAATTCACAACCATGTAAGCCATTGTTTGATAACACGTTGAACGTAACTTTGCACGAGAGACCTTCAGGAATAACCTGCTATAAAGGAGGAAGGGTCAGACGCCAGCCGAGGAGTTTAGTAGAAAGGTGACAGGAAACACTGAACGGAAACAACTAAACTGAATTGCAAGACAAGTCTATACTTGCATTCTTCGGAGAGGAAAAAAGCTAATACTTGAACTCATGGTGGTGTAAATTGGTGACTGGCACCAAGAGTACTAATAGCATCTGACAACAACTAAAAAAATCACATGGGCACTTGATGGAGTATCTCCAGCGATTTTTACTAGAATGAAAAACTAACTTCTGGTTTTATACCAAAATATGAAGTGATTAACAAGATCAAGGTCTGTTTCGCTTATCTCTGCAATTATATGGGCTATTGAGATGTCTATTCAAGCGGTATCTTGACTTATCTTTAATAATGATCTCTTCTGCATAGATCATCCAATATTAACTTGTTGATAAAGTGAAGTAAACGCGAATTGTCAATAGAATATGATTCGCTTACGAGAATAGGATTTATTGGCTTCCCGTATTATATCGAATGAAATGAATCACGAATTTCAAATGCATGAGCACCAGTTACTGCTCACTTTGGTATTCACAGGACTACATTGCATGGAATCTTCGACATATAGTATATTTTATTTCAGACATATTAAACAAAATGTAGAGAATTCTGATCCTTCAGCTAATTTTCTATCAACTGGTCATCAAAGACCTACAACATAACCTCTCCTGGTTTCCCCTACTATAAGCAAACAGTCATAAAGTTTTGATTATCATAGACATTGATAATTAGAAAATTTGCCCACTTTAAACAAAAAGACGTAGGATGCCAATGGTGATTATTAGTGATAAACCCACTTCGATTTCCTAAGTGATCGAGTTGAAGATACGTTGGAATGAACCCTAAGTAAGATATTGTAAAGGTACAAAAGGTAAAGGAAAATGGTGGTTAGAAGAGTAATATATATCTAGGTAAAATTATAATCTTATGATCACATCTAGAGATATCTCCGATATTCGAACTTTGACAAAGCGTTCATACGAAACATTTTTATAACAAAAGGATACCCATATAGTCAAGTCATATTTCGGAAATGAAGTGGTTCGGAAATGTATCTAGAAATGTTTCAATATGCTGAGAAATGTTTAGTCTAAGCTGGCTAGTGGTTGTAAAGCATACGTGGCACAACCTACTCACTCGTGATCCGATACAGATGTGTGACCAATCGCCTTCAGTTACGGTAGGTCTAGTAAAATGTATGAGGTCAGCATCAACATCTAAGACTTACAGGACTATTTATTTTGGGGGTTTATATGCCGCTACACATAGAAAAACTGGTTATCAATGTTTGAACGTTCATAACCTATTGGTGGGGTCAGTGAGCTTATTACGGCTTAGAGTAGACTGTACAAAATCCAAACAGCTGCTGTAGTGTACTGGAAAGCTAATAACTTTGAGGTTGTTTGAAGGAAGTTTACATTCAAGATAGATTTCTTCTAAGAACTACCACAGAAGTTGTTTTCACTTATTAAGTTGCACCCGAGTCAAATTCTAATAACGTCTCACCACTTAAACAACTTCTGTAGAGTATACAGTCTTCAGGTTGTGCTTAAACCATATTCGACAAAAATACCGTAGATACAGGAAACGCGGCTCTTTTAAACTCGCATGGTGTGTTGTTGTTTGACGTTCCTTTCGACTTTACATATTATGCCTTTACATTCGTTTTAAATTGGATCCAATCATGTTTAAGCGATGCAAGAGGTTATTCATATAATCGCTGAAGATCTTTCCTAAACTTAAGTCCCACCTTGGGTACCCTACGAATTTGGTACAGAAATGCGCCACGTTTAATTATACGATATATAATCCTAGAATTAAATACCTAGATATCTATTTGTATTGATCGTTATGAACTCATACGCTGTTTTTAATTGTAGCAGTTCTTAGTGAATGAAATCGGGTGACCAATTAGTGATTTTATAAAATCGCTAATAATAATAATAATGCCTAATCAATTCTTTGTTAGATGTTGTATTGCCAGGTTTGATGATGTTCTTTAACGTGCATAAATATACGGGGGTTTAAACACCTACTTATGTTTAATTTATTTCAAAATATCAAACTTGACTGCCAGTGTCAAACGCTGGGTGCAATACAGAAACTTCTTTTGGCTTTCTTGTTTATGAACTGTGAAAACGCTGTCTTATGATAAAGAGAGTTTGATAATCTGTCGCACTTTCCTTAGTTGTTAGTCCAGCGGATTCCGAATTAATATTAGCTAAGAATACAATTCTAATTAGTTTTTATCTTACACCGGGTTAATATGTAAAGAAGAAACCCTATTATGACTGCTTGCTTTTTGGTTCTAAGCGTTCCCTAGTGTGCCAATATTTTTTTCAATGGCAAAGTTGCTGGTCGATTCCAGTGGAGATTTGGGATTGTTATATTGCTTTTAACATTTTCGTTTTCCTGTAAAGAAGGGATTATGTATGCGAGCTTACAAAGTTTCAGTTTCAGTTTGGAAAGGACAGGAGGCTTGATGCCCTGTGTTAGTCCTTGCAATGATGGTCTCTCAGCTGATCCAACTTTTTTTTGAAGGAGTCGACGGATAGGGCCTCAACCACGTGCTGAGGTAATGAATTCCACTCGTTGATTATTCGATGGGAAAGTCGGTAGTCAGCTGACAAGTAATTCGTTCTGGGCTTGTGAACTTTTTTGGAGTGTCCTCGTAAATTTTCTGTTTTGGAAGACAAGAAAAATGAGGACACATCAGGTGCAAATTTGTCATTAAGCAATTTAAAAACTGTAATCAAGTCGCCTCTGATTCTTCTATATGACAGCGAGAATAGGTTTAGTTTGGTCAGTCTAGTACCATACGAGAGCTTCGCTATTCCGGGAATCAGCCTAGTTGCTGTTCTCTGAACCCTTTCCAAGAGTCCACTGTCTTTTTTTAGGCAGGGGTTAGCTGCTTGTATGCAGTACTCAAGTTTAGGACGTACGAACACTGTATACAAAGTCAGAAACGTTTTAGCATCGAGATGCCTAAAAGCCCTGCGTATGGACCATAAAGTCCTAAAACCTTTGGCGGCTATTGCACGGCAGTGTTCAGTAGTCTTTAAGTCTTGGCTAACGATGACTCCTAAGTCATTGTCTGCCTGGATAATAGGTAACTCAGTGTTATTCGTCGTGTATGTATCTGTACCCTGGTGGCCAATATGCATCACAATACACTTGGAAGTGTTTATCGGCAATCGCCAAGTTTGGGACCATTCAGATAATCTCTCCAGGTCATTTTGAAGTTCTAAGTTATCGCCTTCGCTTTGTATCGCTCTCCACATCTTGACATCGTCAGCATAGAGTAAGACCGATGACGATAGTAGACGAGGGAGGTCATTTACGTACAGGAGGAATAACACTGGCCCCAAAACTGTACCCTGGGGGACTCCATTAAGCACAGTTTCCCAGCTAGACAACTTGGAGTTCACCCTTACTCTTTGTTGACTCCCAACTAGGAAGTCTTATCCACATCAATAGATTGCCTCCAATCCCGACATTCCTTAGCTTATATAACAGCCGGCTATGCGGAACTTTGTCGAAAGCTTTGCTGAAATCGATGTAAACTACGTCTATAGGTAACTTTTGGTCCTTAAGAGCGCACCAGCTTTCACGAGCGACTAATAAGTTTGTGAGACAAGAGTAACCGGTTCTAAAACCATGCCGCTTTTCGGAGAGGATCCGGTTTTCATCGAGATACTTTAACAGCTCCTTCTGAATAATCTTTTCCAAGATTTTAGCAACCACACTAGTTAGGCTAATTGGTCGGTAATTCTCAGGCTTATGTTTTGTACCTGTTTTGAAGACTGGACTTACTATGGCGTTCTTCCAGTCTTTTGGTAGACGAACCTGGGTTACGGATAGATTAAAACATACACTTAAAGGGTTCGCAACAAAGTTAGCTAATTCCTTTAGTAACCTAGGATGCAGTTCATCGGGTCCAGGGGATTTACGTATGTCAAGCTTAACTAGCAGACCAAAGACATCGAGTTCTTTAATGGTCACGCTGTCCAGTGCTTGTGTGGGGGGATTTTCATGGACTGGTGAGAAGGGTGTTTCTATGGTGTATAGGTTGCTAAAGTATTTAGAGAATACTTGAGCTTTGCCAAAGTCGTCCTTCCACATTAGTGATGAGGCAGTACTGTCTCCCCGTAGTGAAGAAATATTCCTTCTTTTTGTCCTTAGGTTTATATGGGAATACAAGCGTTTAGGGCAATCTATGGATTATTTTACAATTTTCTTTTCGTACAGATTTCTGGATTTACGGAGGGTCGATGCACAGGTGTTTCGAGCTTTTTGATACTGAGATTTTGCCCCATCATTCCCCAGTAACCTACATTTATCCCGCATTTTCCTTCTTTTACGGAAAAGGATGCGAGCCTCCCTACTGAACCATGGTGGGGAGTTTCTCGGCCCCCTAGGTGTAGTCCAAGGGATGTGGGAAGCGGTATCTTTTAAGTATAATTTTCGAAATATTTCCCGAGCCGTTTCAACTGAGGACTCTGAGTCTATTGTCCAATCTACTGACGATGCTGAGTGAATGATGTCTTGTATGTTTGCTTTCCAGATTGAGCTGACGAGTGCTCGTGATCGACAGTTATATGGAAGTCAAAGCTTAAAACTGCATGATCACTTTTGCCTAGGGGTGGCATGTAATCCAGGTTTGCAACGTCATCCTCATAGTGAGTCAATATAAGATCTAGCAAGGATGATTCGGAGCCCTGGTCGTATCTAGTTGCTTCTTTTACATGTTGCACTAGAGCACATGTAACCCAATCAACTAGTTTCTGCTCGAAGGAATTATATGACGATTCAGTTCGCAGATTTTCCCAGTCTACCATGGGTGTGTTAAAATCCTCTAGGATTATACGTCGACCACAATATGGGATAATTTTTAAACACAAACAATGAATTTACCTGAGGGTTCTGTAGACCTTAAGGAAAAACTACTTTCGGGTTAGTTATCACCATGATTACCTTTGTGAAAATTCTTTTCATATGATTCTTATTTTACCTTTCCACCAAATAATAAACATTTGTTCCTGACGGGTTTAGCGAGTTGGTGATCGTAGTAAAGTGAAAATTTTTATTTATTTAGAAATTGAGGAAAGAATGATTCACTGTTTTTCCGTCTTTCTGCAGATTGTTGGTTGTTGTAACTTCTCGAATAGATGTATTAAAGCTTAGAGAATCAGTTATAGAAACATAGATATAATAATCGAAATAACCTTAGATTTAAGTAAATTTATTTTATTTATTTATTTAGACACATAAATATTGGTACACGGAATCACCGGATACATATGCGCCGCACAAATCACATTCGATTTGCTTGAGGGCTGTGATACTGCCCGGGTGCCCAAACTGAAGCAGGTGGTTTTCTTAGGGGACCACACCCAGAGCCTTTGACCGAAAGATCTGACCCATAAAACATTGGAGCATCGTGAGGAGATGCAGTCTCATCGTAGCCGGTGATCAACGATTGATTCGTACGCCATTTGTTCCCTCAGGATCCTGGAGCCCATGTGCACCATTGGTTTGCAATCAGGGTTTCCCAACTCCCCTAGGTGGACTTTCCGTGTCCACCAACCCGGTTAAAGCGCCGGACATTCGCTTTTCGTCCTCTCATTTTCGTAAACAACAGTAATGCCACGAGAAGGCAGTGAGTAGGACTTCCCTGACAGATGCTATATATTCGCTGGCCATGTGAGAGCATTTCGAGTGGGAGAGCGGACTCTCCCCACTCTCGGCCGTACCTGGGCATTTGGGGGCAAGCCTGGTTCGGCCCGGGTAAATAGTCTTATGAAGACCTTTTACTTGTTTCTCTATTTCACTGAAACATCGGATTTTGCAAGTTAGTGATAGATCTGGGTGATAAAGCAACATATTGTGATGTGGATTACTTATATCCACGTAAGTAGTGTATAGTGATAGTCATGCATAGAATGTATTTTGGCAGAAGATCAATAAGGAAAGAACAAGAACGAAGCGCGTTTGGTATGAAAACGCATAAACAATCAAATCAGAGAAGATGGACTGGTATTTACAGGATGAACGATCAAGATTGAGTCAATTAAACCTCCCTACGATGGGGAGTTTCTCGGCCCCTTAGGTGTAGTCCAAGGGATGTGGGGGGCGGTAACTTTTAAGTATAAATTCCGGAATACGTCCCAAGCCGTTTCGATCGATGACTCTGGGTCTATTTTCCAATCTACTGATGATGCTGATTTCATGATGTCTGGTATGTTTGCTTTCCAGACGTTAGGTCTGGATTGAGCTGAGGCGTGCTCGTGATCGACAGTTATATGGAAGTCAAAGGTTAAAACTGCATGCCTAGGGGTGGCATGTAATCCAGGTTTGCAACGTCATCCACATAATGAGTCAATATGAGATCTAGTAAGGATGATGCAGAACCCGGGTCGTACCTAGTTGCTTCCTTCACGTGTTGCACTAGAGCACATGTGATTACCGCATCAACTATTTCCTGTTCGAAGGGATTTTCTGACGATTCAGTCCGAAGATTTCCCCAGTCCACCATGGGTGCATTAAAGTCCCCTAGGATTAGACATCGATCACTTCGTGATAAAGTGTTGAGACTGCTTAGCAGGACCTCGTTTACCTCACAGCTTGGACTGCGATTTATCAAATTAAGCAGCAACTCTTGTCTCCTGCATTTCAGGCGGCAGCTAACTAATTCATACGTCCCACTCTCATGGGATACACTGTCGATAATGGTGAATGGAATAGCATTCCTAATGAATAGAGCTACTCCCCCTCCTTTACGCGTTTGTATTCTATCGGCCCTTACTAATGTAAAACCCTCGAAATCAAGTTCCCTATTATCTACAGACGGCGTCAGCCATGTTTCTGTGACTGCGATTATGTCTGGCCTAGTTGAGTCAATCTGTACACCTAGTTCCTGTAGCTTATTGAGTAAGCTCCGGGAATTGGTATAACAGATCCGAAGCCTATTGAGGTGGCCTCGTGCTTCACCCAGAGTGGCTTTGGCATCATCCTCTGTTGAAGCCTCACAACTCGAAAATTTACAATTTTCAGGTCTTTTTCGCCAGCATCTAATCTGAGTTGTAGTTCTTTTTCGGCTTCCCGTCTTTTTACTGGTCTGCCAATGGTAAGTCCTTACGGAGAAAAACTTCTGAACCCTTTAATTTGTGTCCATTTTCTAAGATTAAGTCGCGTTCGTTTGGGGATTTGAAAACGACTTTGAGCAGTCTAGACTGATTAGGCTTCAGATGCGCCAGGTTTCCTAGTCTATACAAAGTATCTAACTTGATATCTATCTGTCTATTTATTTGTTTGTCACAAACGGTGTTGACCTATTTTTGCGTAACAACTATTTTCTTTTGATTGTCAAATGTGGGACGCACAGTGGTCTGATGAATCGACAACAAAAAATTTTTCATGTACTAAAAATGAAGTAACTAAAGTTAAACACACCAACGTAGGAGTTCGAGATAATGAAACATTATGGCGAAAAGTCTGTACATCTACTTCTATATCGGGAGGTGTGTGTTCAAAGTCTATTTCCATGTGTTTGAAAGCCTTTTAAAAGTCATTCATATATATTGTTCTCTGTCGTCTTAACTTTGCTAGCTTCAGACGAATATTTTGAAAAGTAGTGAATGATTATGCTTATCACATTCATAGGATTCTGTACATCTATGAAGCTTTAATGCTTTATTCATTGGATAACAATCCATCATTTAATGTTGAGGAATCTCTTTGTACAGCCACGGGTTATGTATAATTATACAGTTTGCAGACACTAGTAACCGCTTCTCATCATGTACATCAGTAATTAAGAATGGTTTTTGGCACTTCTGAAAGTGATGCCTATTAAATGTTGTCTTTCATTGCATATTAAGCATAATAAGCGGCTGCTTTATCGTATGTAACAGTGGAAAAAGAACCTCGTTATTAACAGTTGGGGTGGAAGCGGATTTACACAAAATTGATGAAAAAGGTTTCATGACTTACTATTAAATGTCGAAAGATTATAATGTTAGACTAAAGTTTGCAAATTAAAATATCTCCCAAATCCTTGTTGGATTATAAGTGTTATGCTTCTCAATCTCATCTGAAATTAGTTCAGGCTTCCTATTGCTTAGAAAATAAGACGAAAATTAGTTAACTCATTCACACAGTACCTGGTTGTGAGCCTCACTCTAAATGTGTTGGTTAATCATGATAACCGCCTGGCCAAACTGGAGTGGGGGTTCAAACCTGGGACTTAGTGACTGAAAGTCGAGCACCCCAACCACTGAACTACTGTTCCACAATGTATTTTGGAGAGGAGGAACGGAAGTAAGATTAAGAGGCAGGAGTGAGCTAAATAATATTTTTTAACTGTGACATTTATCCTTAACTTCATATTTCTGTCTCACCGTAATTAATTCTTTCGTTTACTTCGTTTCCTGTTTTTCGTTAGCTTGTTTCAATATCAAACTTTATCCTTCTTATTTCGCTCTGATTGTATTCATTCTTTTCTGTTCGGTTCCCCTATTTGACTAATGCCACGTGCGAACTTTGGTTAGTCGAGTTTGTTAGTGTTGGATGGACTGAAGACCAACTTTTTCAAATTGACCTTATCTACCCTAAAAACCCAGTAGCCTAGAAACTTTAAGAATTGTACTGACATAGTTTACACAAGCATATATTTTAGGTCGGCTTACAATAAACTCTATCAGAGCCTCCAGAGAGGCTCATAAAAAGCCCAACCAATCAGCGATTAGTTAGAAGCTATGCTACTAAAATTATGAGGTCCTGATTGGTTGTTAAACATACTGCTACTATGGAATCTCAAGGTTGTTTGATTCCAAAATACGTCACCGACTGCTGTATTTTTTTTGCCAGAATCCTCGACGACAATTGTTGTATTTTTTTGTGTACCAAAAACCCCGACAACAATTGTTTTTTTTTGCTGAAATCCCCGTCGCCACTGTTATGTCTCGTAGGTCGAACGCTTTATTCGGATCCTAGCTATTCGGATAACCCCAGGCTAGCACTACTCAGCGACTTGAAAGACCAGAGAGAAGACACGAGTATCAAAGAAGAACTTTACTACAAGGTTCATTTATGTACAGAAAAACAGGAGTTTTATAGTAATTAAGAGACCTTTGAGATTCCATAGTAGCAGTATGTTTAACAACCAATCAGGACCTCGTTATTTTAGTAGCATAGCTTCTAACTAATTGCTGATTGGTTGGTCTCTTTATGAGCCTCTGGAGGCTCTGATAGAGTTTATTGTAAGCCGACCTAACAATATATATTTTTTCAAACCATCTACATCATCCCGTAACCTTGACTGGTTGATTCTGCAGTTTTACCAGTGTTCTCATACTACACTGATTTAAATCAACTTGAATACAGCCTTCATTTTCCCATATATATATATATATATATATATATATATATATATATATATATATATATATATCCCGGACAGTTAAGTATTTATTTCCCCATTTATCGGTTCATCCCTTTTATGCGCAAATTTAAGTGCAACGTATGTACATTAAACTTTTGACAGTACAAGAATTGAATTAAAATTTTATATTTATTTGCTTAAATTCATTGTGATGTTATTAGTATTTAGTGTCATCCATGTCTTCTGGATGCATCGAATTTCACTAAATGTATGAGTAAGTGAAAACAAGGAGTTCGGTTTTTCTGTATTCATGCAGTTTAATTACTCGTCCAAAGTACTGGGTCAGTCAGTCGTGCAAAACACTAAATCTGATTTACGTACATTGGTTCAAGTTGCCATACCATATAACGAGATTAAATTATTCCAAGACGAATCCCAGAGTTGTAGGAGTGGTAATAGTATCAGTAGTGGTAGTAGAAAAGATTGAATATAAAAAGGGTAAAATGATATAGGGAGATTTTGGGACTCTGATTTTAAGAGAAGACAAACCGTAACTACACCTGTACCAGTGTTAATTACTTTCTAAATATCTTTAGTGGAAATGATATATTCTCATTTTCAGTATTAGCATCCTGTTGGACATAATCATTTATATCATGCTTTATGGGTGAATAGTCTTTTAATTCTTAAGTAATGTCCCACATCGTCAGTCTATTATTTAAAACTAATTTGCTTTTATCAGTTTTGATTTGCATTATTTTCCATTCCAATTTTAGTTTGATAGTATGAGTGAAACATCCAAACAGAATCAAATACCAACAACTGCTCATGAAAAGTTAATTGAGTCTCAGTTAATAAAAACAGCTCAAATATTGGAAGATACGTTAGATGAACAAATTAATCGTTTGGATAATTTAAATGATGATGACTTGGAAGCTATTCGACAACTTCGAATTAAGCAAATGAAAGAAGAATCAAAACAACGTTCTGAATGGTTAGCTTTAGGACATGGTGTTTATTCTGAATTATCAAATGAAAAAGACTTTTTTACTACCTGTAAAACATCATCATTTGGTCTTGTTTGTCATTTTTATCGTGATTCAACATTTCGATGTAAAATTCTAGATAAACATTTAAGCTTATTAGCTCCAAAACATATTGAATGTAGAATGGTAAAGATAAATGCAGAGAAAGCACCATTTTTAACAAAACGTTTAAATATTCTAGTTATACCAACTTTAATTCTTGTTAAAAATGAAAAAGTATACGATCGTATTGTTGGATTTGATGAACTTGGTGGTCATGATGAATTTTCTACTTCTATGCTTGAATGGCGTTTAGCTGTTAGTAAAGTGATTAAATATTCTGGTGATTTAACAGTTCCACCAAATATGAACAAAAACAAGTCTACATGTAGTAATTTATCGAATATCACTAAAAAACTATATGACAATAAATCTATATATAGTAAATGTTTGGACAATAACACTGATGATGATGACGACGACGAAGATAGTGATTAATTAAATATTGTTACGCTAGTTGTAACTTTCTCATTGTCTATGTAACAAACTAGTTTTATGTGGCATGTTTTTTTTTAGAAAAAATTTTCATTTGTAACCATTATCTTTATATTCACATGTAAATTTACATGTGAATATAAATGATAAATCATATTTAACTTGTGAATAATGTGTCTTTGAATTTTTGACTTCTCTAATGTTAAGAAGAGAAAATGAAGGAATACACCTTCTAATGGTTGATTATCACTTTATTGTAATAGAAGGATAATGTTTTTCTCTCTATATTTATTTGTAAATATTATGTTTACATCTTTGTTTAATTTTCATATATTTCATATTGTGTTGTATATTTTTCATATATAGTAATATGAGTAATCTTATTTATCTCTTTGATTTTTGTCCCAGTCTTTTTAACCAATATGAAATGATTCAAAGTTGTTTTTCTTATAACTTATCAAATAGTATTATATACATTATGTAAAGAAAGTTCCTTACTTGTACAATTTCTCATGGCGGGGGGGGGTGTTGTTTACAAAATGGAAAGGACGAAAAGCGAATGTCCGACTTTTTAACCTGTTCGATGAACACGAAAAGTTCGGTTATGGGAGTTGGAAAATCCTTGTTCCAAAACCACTGCTGCACATGGGCTTCAGTATCCTGAGGGAACAAATGACGTATGAACCAATTATTGGTCACCGGCTACCATGGGACTGCATCGTCGAATGTTACTCCACTGATTTGTTGATCATACCTTTAGGTCGAAGGCTCCGGTTGCAGCCTCTTAAGGAAACCGTCTGCTTTAGTTTCGGCACCTGAGCAGTATCACAGCCCTCATCACACAAATCAAATGAGATTTATATGGCGCATATATCTGATGCCCCCTTGTACCAATATTTGTGTGTTCAAATAAATAAATAAGTGTAAACTGAAGCAAATAAACGTGATTTGAATAGGTATACCATTACTGTATCCTCTGATAGCTTGATTTCCTCAACTAGACAATGTGTTTATTATCACAAAAAAGTCAGACAATAAACACTATTTATCGGTACAGAGCTATAAACAAAACAATCGTCAATTTGTTCAAATTTCTTTGTGATTCCGCTCCTTTTTTTTGATCTTGAATATTATGTATTTAGTTTGAATGTGTTCATGTTTGAAGTTCTTGCGGAATATGTTTAAAGAAAAAACAAATCTTCGGCTGATTTGTAACATTGATAGAAGACATCACATGAGTTGCAGACATTCCCCACCATATATACATCTATCATCTTACTAAAAGATCTGAAAATGAACTCTATGAAATCGGCCTAGATTCTTTTATATAAGTTAAGTAAATAAACCAGTAACTAGCAGAGATGGATAGTGGCTAGCAGTGGAATCCAGGACGCGCGTTTCGTCCTATTTGGGACTCGTCAGCTGGATGTACCTGCATCTCGATTGTGAATTAAGATATATCGAGGAAATACGCACAGTATGCGCACATGCCAATTAGAGACTGACCAGTTGCAGTCCTAACAAATCGATGGGAAGATTCAAACAAACAATACTAAGTTAAATTTAAACCAGTAACTGTTTGGTTTTGATAAATACCTTTGTAAGAGTCCAACTTGTGTGATTCAAAATGTATATTTCTTGAGTATTCAATTGATACTATGCAATAAACAAGTTGATCTACTCAGCTTTAATGTGAAATTTTGTGATACAAATCTTCTATTCACACTGAAATTAGTAATCCATTAGAAATTTGTTATCCATTTGAACTAGGTTTTGTATCTTTATAAGACCGATAAATACATGACAGGTTTTCTTCTTATTAGATGTAAATTGAATAATAGGACGAAACGGCCGTCTAGTGCTTCCAGCTACAATTGACTCACTCATTCAACTATGAAAATAAACTAGTAGTTTCTCCTTTTCATATCTTGTGGTGAATGAATATTTCGTTATATTTTCTTGCACTTAAAGAAATGTATTATGTTACTTTAGTTGCCTGTAACAATGGAAACAGATTTAGTTGTTTTATTATTAGGTCAAAAACAGACAACTTGGACGTTTCATTTTTGTCCGAAATCTCAAATAGTCATTGAGGTCAGTTCAAGCAAGACTGCAAAACGATTTAAACTACTTATATTTTGAAAAGTAGTGGGTAGATGTTTTTGATAAGAATTATTATCTGACTTGGGTTAACAGTCGTAGTATTAAACTGAAGATCATTTTAACTAATCAATCTAAAGGCTGCTTAGTCTTCTATACTATGTGACTGGGAATTGTTTTGGTTCAAAATTGTTTAGGGTCCTTTTCAAGATTCTTGCTTATCATGAGACCTATCTATAGTCCCTAATTTCATGAAATGGTGTCCATGTACGATATTATGTTTGAGAAGTGTACCAGATACCTGATTAACATAAAATAAGTTCCCATATAATCACAAATATATATCTATGAGTGGGATGCAATCAACAACTTGTATTGACCCAAATCATAAACTAGGAATGAAGGTCAGTACACAGAATGAGAATACAATCACATAACCGAGATCTGACTACATGGTTTTACTGAAAGTAGAACTAAAAGATTCAAAATATCTCGTGAATACTCATAAGTCATATGACTCATATACAACTAACCAAGGGAAAAAATAGAAAATTGTACAATTTAATGCACATAATCCAATTTACCATCGTGAAAGAAGCATCAACAAAGATTTAAGTTGAATAACATGAATCCACTTTATTTCTCTTGGTTCTCGTCAGCTGCTTATTTGAAGACATCAGTAAAGAATAGCAAGAGTGTAAATAAATTTAATAGACTGTTTAAAATATAAGTATATACCTTATGTGAAAAAAAACATTCTACAACATTGGTTATAATAAAGGGATAGAAACAAGCGGTTACGTAATAAGTAAACTCTGATAATAAGTAAAATTAAAATTAGTAAAGCCCAATGAATTAAAATGGGATCGCTGATCTAGAAAACAGTCGAAATTAAAAGACATTATGTGATTAATTGTAGGAAAGAGTTGAGTAAAATTTTCATGATATCGTCAAGGAGCGTTTGTTATCAAGGCAAAGAAACGTTAATAACCATCTTTTTGAACACATAAATCAGGTTTCGGACAGCTGATAGCAACGGCTTTAGCAAGTTTGAGAAAACTGAAGATTGATTGTCTATTAATCACCTTGAAAGATTCCGAGGTATTGACCTGATGTCCTGTATCCAAAAATGTTTGGTAATTGTGCCGTTTAAAATCGTCCTCACTCTTGTTCGAAGGCTTTATGGAAAATGTTCAAAAAATTTAAGATATATTCTCCTTTCTGCGTACTAAACAACTAAACTATTAACACCGTACAAAACAACATGTTCAGTAACCCAATCAAAGATCGACAAGCACCTATTTCATGTTACCGCCAACTGTTTTTATAAATTTACGTGTATCTACCATAGCAACTATATTGGCTTGACAGAAAGGACAATATATCTCAAATTTTCCTAACATGTTCCAAAAAGCCTCCGAACAGGAGAGATAACGATGGTTGAGTTTTTCATCAAATTTTAATAATGCTGCACATGGCACTGCTTTCTTTGGGAGGAAAACAGATTTAGCCCCTGGCTTCAACCGAAGGGTTATTTTCATAGCAGAACACCAACCTAACGGAGACTGAGAAATGGTTGACAAATGAGTCATCAAGTTTGTCGTATATGCCTCAGGTTCATGGGGTTATCTTAACAGATGACATACAGTACTTATCGGGACGTCAGCTAGTTGCAGCTGGTCGAATCAATCTAAACCAAGTAAATTTGAATAAACTGGTGTTACGTCAATTCACGGAAAGACACTTTACAATCTAATTGTCCCACCAAACGCAGATAATTACTACATGCAGTACAAGGCTTCTGTAATGTCGGCTTTATGCGCGGTCTTCCCATTTTGTTCTAAAATTTCCGTGCGAGAATAGTAATGTCTGATGTATCTATTTACAATCTAAATAAATGCCCATTAATATTAAGAGTAGTAAATTTTCCCTCGCCTGGGGTTGAGCTCTGGCAGGACGCTAATAGGCTCAACAAACTTGTGCAGGATTTGAAAAAGGCCTTTTAGTACATCTAGACAGATTTGGTTTCCTCTTTTGACAAAATCCATGTTTGTGACCTACGGATTTACACTTCCTACAACGATGTTGTTTAAACGGGCAGGTTCATACACAAGAGCAGGAGGATTAGTCTTTGTCTGTTGGATTCAGCCCCGGTGGGATAGGCTAGGAATAGCAGGTGCTCATTTGGCTATGTTGGATAGTTGTTGGACTACATGAACTTCCGAGCGGTCAGGACCACCACACTAGACAGCTGCAGTGTCGCGTTACAGAATAATTAAACGTTGGTACTCATTTGCAATATCATCAAGAGTCAGTTTTGGGTCCTGGTTCATTCGACACAGTAACCGTGTTCCAATGTCCCTGAAAGTTTGCGGTTGGGGGCTACGAATGACGATGAGAGCTTTAAACTGATCTTCACTTAGTGACTTCACCCGGAACCGTTCTCATTTACGATTGAAGATACGCACATGCGTAAAGAAATCAGCGTCTTCGTCCATAATCAGCTTCAAACACCGATGACGCGTATTAAACAATGAGGAATTATCTCTAAACTGTTGGCTCAATGACTGGACGGTGTGAGAAAACGAGCGGTCACGCAGGTTCAGAGGCAAAATAAAACTGCGGTACCTGTCCAACTCACTTGGATCCGATTTCTGAAGTGGCAACCAAACCTTCCAAGCATCATTTTTGTCGGCAAAATCAAATATATATAAGTCCTCATAACGACGGAACCACAAGTCAAAAGTGACATTAACATCGTAATCGTAATAGCATTCGTTCACGACAAAGTAGTAGAATTAGATATGGTCGGCTGTGTTTCAGCTGCTGTCCAAACAATAATTCTACTTTTGAAGAATCATACTTGCACCAGCCTCGTCGTCAATTTGCTGTTTGAAGAGATTAATAAATCACCTAAAATAGGCCAAGAGGACAAAGGATCAGCCACGCAACGACGAGAAAAGCTAAACTATTCCTATGCGTCCTAGAGGGAGAAGACTAGGTTCAGATGAGGGAAGGGTATATTACACAAGCCGTCAGAAGCACGAACGGTGGTTGTCAGGTAACAGATTGAGAAGTCTTCTGTTGCGAGCGAGTCGATAACCACAGCTGGTTAACAGTTTGTTTTTGTTTATTGAACAATTTATTCTTCAACAGGATCGGTCTGTATAAATGATTATTTATTCATTGTTTCATTGTAAATTTGATCTTTTATTGAAAACTGTATATTTAACAAGTCATATATTTGTCAAAACTAAGATTTTAATAGTTGAAATCATGAGTCAATTGAAGCTAGACTACCATGGGAAATCTGGAAGTACTGGACGGCCGTTTCGTCCTATTATGGAACTCCTCAGCAGTGCGCATCCACGATCTTGCCTCGTGAGATTCGAATTCAGGACTTACCAGTCTCGCGCCAAAGCACTTAACCGATAGACCACTGAGCCGACCG